CAGCATTCCGACGGCGGAACTTGGGTTGCATCAACAGCAGCTGAAAGCAGCTGTCTACGCGTAGAGACCATCCGGTAACGTGAGCCTCGTAGGACGTGCAGTGTCCATTCCTGAGCTTCATCTGTGTGGTTACTGCAAAAGAAAGAGACCGCAACTCCTGGAACAGTCCGGCTGGTTTTGCAAGCGCTGGCAAGGGCCAGATTTTAAGTGGTGGAAAGTTGGAGCGACGAGCTCTGGGTTCTGTGGCCCGCACACGCGTTTCAGCCACGTGCACAAAACGGTCCGGGCCGTGCCTGCGCCTTGAGAGGCAAGCAGACATCATGATTCTTGCTCAAAGCTGGTAAGCCTAGAAGCTGAGGTGACTTTATTCAGAGGCGGCGACTGCGCGCTGCCGGCTTGTGATGTCGCAGTTGTTTGCAGCTGCCTTTTTTTTCGCGCGCTGACGTCATGTGCTCTTTGCAAGAAGTTCTGCCTCAGCCGTAGCTGCGAGATCAGATCAGGGCAGGAAGTAGTGCTGGCAACATGGCGTCGGGAAGTCAGCCGGTTCAAGCGAAGATGGAAAAATGTCAGGTCCTAAGGGATCCAAGTGCGGAGCCAGCAGCAAAAGATTGTTGCATCGCTTGAGGCTCTGTGAAGATCGATTTGACTGACGCGGACAGGGAAGTGGCCACGCATGAAAAGGCAGGGGCCTTTTCTGACTATTGGTCGATGTTCCGCGGATTCGAGTGGTGCAGACAATGTTTCGTAGGTGAGTGCAGACTCATTGGAAAAGGTCGTGCTGCACATTGGAAGGCGCGGTCTGCGCAACAAAATTGTCCCTTCTTGGGTTGCTGTGGCCATGAGAGGCAGATGTCGAAGGGCAAGTGCCCTTGTCTGTCCGAGGCCGAGTGTGCTGCAAGCACAGAGCAAAATTGGAGAAAGGTTGGACACGAATTCGTTGTCATCCAAGGACTATCGGTGCCAAACTACTGAAGCCAACGAAAACGAAGAGTGCTGCTGAGGGCAGCGCTCAATCGGCTGTGCAAGCTGGTGGCGAGAAGCCCAAGAAGGGCAAAAAGAAATCCCGTCAGGGTGGGGAGCTCACGGTGACCAGCACTACGAAATTGCGGAATTGCACTCGGATTCTAACACGTTTCTTCAAGGAACAGTGCCATGGCAGGAATTTGTAAGCAAATCATTTGCAACAAGGCGACATTGTGATAAAGAGATGTTGTCCCCGAGGCAGCCCGATGCAACGTTCAATCGTGTGCATGTTTTTCCGAAAGCTGCGGTCGGGGCAAGCGGCCTCTGCATCTTCGCGCCGCGCGCCCGGCAGCAGGGCATGATGACAGGTGGGAAAGACTCCCAGCTGTGGTCCTGGACGGGGGCTACGCAGACACGTGGCAAGGAAGGAGAAGCTTTCAGCTTCCATGGCAAGGCCGGGGCAAAGGAAAGGGTTTCGAATGGAAGGTTTTGTAAGCTGACGTGCTGTTGCATTCGACTGTCCGTCTTGTTGCAGGCAGTCTTGTTCGATCCACGTCTGCCGCACACGGTGACGCAGAAAAGCTGGTGCATCATTGCGGATTTCCTGGAGGGTAAGCTCCCCAAAGGCTCAGAGGAGTTGGAGAGCTTGGGTTTCCAGGCACGGTTTTGCAGTCGCGCGTCCTTGCACTGTATTTCTGTTGTATTCTTGTTTCGGAATGTTGTTTGCAGACATCGCGTGGCCGACAGCTGCCTGAGCTTCCTGGTGGCTTGGGAGAGCGTAATCTCTTGCTCAAGAGGGCGCGTGAGGCGTACCGGCTTGCCTATCCCCCAAAACGCCGCGCTGGTCGCGGATTTTGTGTCAATTGCAGCTGTGACAGTTGCATGAAAAAGAAGCAGAAACTGGAGAACCAGAAACTGGAGGATTAGGCCAAAGGCCCAGTTCCTTTTGAAGGCAACTTGAGTATCGTCGGATGGATACTCAGTCACGGGGTTCCGGAAGCAAGCGGTTGCAGCTTTAAAAAAGCTGTCGGACTGACATGCAATTCTTCTCTTCATGCGAGAACCAGCGGTGCGCGCAGAGACAGCCGTTTTGCAAGGAAGTTTCTCTGTTGTGAACGTGGGTTCAAGCAGGGTCAGCCAAAAAAGTAAAAAACGTTGCGCGGCGGCAGCCTTCGCCTGTCAGAACAGTATGCCGGCAGTGTTTGCAAGTCGTAGCACGTGTTGAGAGACAGTCCTGCTGCTTAGAACTGCTCGTACAGCATGGATCGCTTGCGCTCGTGGGTGGAGAGCTGGGCATTGGAATATGACCAGGACAATCCTAAGAAGGCAGGCTCCGCTGC